TGTACCATGAATACTTTCAGGGATATGCAGTATAAAAATTCGGTTTACATGGGAGGTGCCACGCCCCCCTTCCCAACAGCTCCCATTTTTCTTCATGAGAATGGGATTGATATCATATATCTCCATACAAAGTTCCAATACTCTACCATGGACATTTCCTAAGATATGCAGTATGAAAACATCGGTTTGTATGAGAGGTGCCTTTTACAATACTTAGCTCCAATTTTTCTCCAAGACTATGCGATTGATTTCGTATATCTCCATACCAAGTTCCAGAACTCTACCATGAACACTTCCAAAGATATGCAGTATGAAAAATTCGGTTTGTATGGGAGGTGCCACGCCTCCTTTTCAAATAGCTCAAATTTTTCTCCAAGAGTATGGGGTTGATTGCGTATATCTCCGTACCAAGTTCCACAACTATACCATTAACGCTTCTAGAGATATGCAGTATGAAAAATTCGGTTTGTATGGGAGGTGCCACGCCCCCTCTTACAATAGCTCCAATTTTTCTCCAAGAGTATGCGACTGATTTCGTATATAGACCAAAATTTTCTTCAAGAGTATGCAATTGATTTCATTTTTAGCCATACCAAGTTCCAGTATTCTACCGTTAACACTTTCAGAGATATGCAGTATGAAAAATTCGGTTTGTATGCCTCGCTCCCTTTTCCAAGAGCTCCAATTTTTCTCTAAGAGTATTCGATTTATTTCGTATATCTCCATACCAAGTTCCAGAACTCTACCATGAACACTTCCAGAGATATGCAGTATGAAAAATTTGGTTTGTATGAGAGGTGCCACACGCCCCCTTTTCCAATAGCTCCAATTTTTCTCCAAGAGTATGCGATTGATTTCGTATATCTCCATACCAAGTTCCAGAACTCTACCATGAACACTTTCAGAGATATGTAGCATGAGAAATTCGGTTCGTATGGGAGGTGCTACACCCATTTTTACAATAGCGCCAATTTTTCTTCAGGAGTATGCGATTGTTTTAGTATATCTCCATACGGAGTTCCAGTACTCTACCGTGAACACTTCCAGAGATATGCAGTATGAAAGATACCACGTCCCCTTTTCCAATAGCTTAAGTTTTTCTCCAAGAGTATGCGATTGATTTCGTATATAGACCAAAATTTTCTTCAAGAGTATGCAATTGATTTCATTTTTAGCCATACCAAGTTCCAGTATTCTACCGTTAACACTTTCAGAGATATGCAGTATGAAAAACTCGGTTTGACTGGGAGGTGCCTCGCTCCCTTTTCCAATAGCTCCAATTTTTCTCTAAGAGTATGCGATTTATTTCGGATATCTCCATACCAAGTTCCAGTACTCTACCGTGAACACTTCCAAAGATATGCAGTATGAAAAATTGGTTTTGTATGTGAGGTACCACGTCCCCTTTTCCAATAGCTTAAGTTTTTCTCCAAGAGTATGCGATTGATTTAGTATATTTCCATATAAAGATCCAGGAATCTATCATGAACACTTCCAGAGATACGTAGTACTAAAAATTTGATTTGTATTGGAGATGCCAGGCCCCTTTTCCAAAAGCTCAAATTTTTCTCCAAGAATACGCGATTGATTTCATATATCCATACCAAGTTCCAGAACGCTACCATCAACACTTCCAGAGATACGTAGTATGGAAACTTTGGTTTGTATGAGAGGTGCCACGCCCCCTCCAATAGCTCCAATTTTTCTCCAAGAGTATGCGATTGATTTCGTATATCTCCATGCCAAGTTCCAGAACTCTACCATGAATTTCGGTGCGTATGGGAGGTGCCACGCCCCCTTTTCCAATAGCTCCAATTTTTCTTCAAGAGAATGCGATTGTTTTCGTATATCTTCATACGGAGTTCCAGAACTCTACCATGAACACTACCAGAGATATGGAGTAAGAAAAAAATTCGGTTTGTTTTGGCGTGGCCCCTTTACATATAGAATTTGTTTAGCATAAAACCATCCTTGGGACACGTGCGGCCGGTGACAGTTTCAAAAAAATCGGTTCAGCCCTTCTCGAGCTTTGCAAACACTAAAAAACGGCTTTCAAAATATATATTAGTGTATATATATTATATATCATTACTATATTTTGGCTGTATCTGTTGTTTCTGATTTCCGCGAAAAAAACTCGCCTAGTGACGAATTCGCTCTTGATATGGTGGTTGCTCAAAGCTATTTATATTCAAAATTGCATGAAAATTCGAAAACAGGATCCTATAAGCTTATCTAGGCAAAAAGCTACCTACGTACAAAATTTGAATCAAATCGGACCATAGTTAAGATTTTTCGAATAGATCGGTCCGTGGTCCACTTCGCGGAAAAAAGGATCCTATGTGCTAATCTAGGCAAAAAGCTACCTACGCACCAAATTTTAAGCAAATCGGACCATAAATACGATTTTTTCGAATAGATCGGTCCCTGGTCCACTTCACGGAAAGAAAAGGATCCTATATGCTAATATAGGCAAAAAGCTACCTACATACCAAATTTTAGGCAAATCGGACCATAATAAGATTTTTTCGAATAGATCGGTCCCTGGTCCACCTACCGGAAAAAGTAAATTTTTTTTGGCCTAAAACATGGTGGTTGCTGAAGGCTCTTTTTATACAAAATTTCATGAAAGTCGGACCAGCCGTTCGCGAGATTACCTGTTACAAAAAAAGGGACTTCTCTTTATATAATTAGTATAGAAGATAGTATAGATATAGATAGATTAATAGAGGTATGTACATACATACATACATAAAATGTGAAGTTACATAAAAAAATATGCTTTTATTATTGCACTCGTTTTTATTAACTTTTTAAAAAGAGGTGCGTATGTTGTCTCGAATTCGATTTGCTATGGAGCTTTGTTCTTCCCCTCCTCCTGACGGCTTTCAAAATGGAATTCATTTGCGTTCAAATTTTCCACTCTGTAGTAAATGCAAATGTTGTGGAGTGCTCAAACAACGTTTATAATTTCACTGGCTTTGAGCGATGAGTAATACAGTTCATGATGAATTTATGACTCTTCACTCATCTGAAAAAGATCAAACATGTCCCTAAATCTCCGCCATTCAATTTCCGCATCAGCAATCTGGGACTCGTCCTCCTCTTCAAGTAATAACGCCGCGGCTATGGATTTCATTTTTACAAGCTTTTATTTAGCTTGGTCATCCCGCGGAAATTTTCAATCGATTTTAAACTAATTTCCCGACAAGGTAGAGACTTGAAATTTTCAGCATAGTTCCAATCACGATGACAATGCAAAAATATGGATGAATTTCCTATATGCTCCAGGGATCTTGACTAATGTGACCAACTATTTCAAAGATCAAAGAAGTACAGCTTAAGTTGGGTTAAGTTAACACCGCGAGCCGATTCGAAATTTCGAATGCAGCTAATTTCGATCTCTGAGAGCTCAGTGTTTCTTCAGAAGTGCGAGCCAAAATGCCTCCATCTTAGACAACTGATACAAAAGGATCAGTTGAAATTCCTAGTCTCACCGCATGAATACCAATTGCAATAGCCCTTGAGAAGTAACGTGTTTTAAAGCACCCTATAAAATATTTGCTACAGCACAGAAACGTCTTCGAAGATGAAGATGAAGATGAAGATGAAGATGAAGATGAAGATGAAGATGAAGACGAAGATGAAGATGAAGATGAAGATGAAGATGAAGATGAAGATGAAGATGAAGATGAAGATGAAGATGAAGATGAAGATGAAGATGAAGATGAAGATGAAGATGAAGATGATGATGAAGATGAAG